GCCAGGCCATGATATGCAATATTTCACATTTTTAATATCTTTTGTTTTCCATTATCTCCATTTACCAATGCAACCTTCCTACCCCCTCTCCTACCTAGCAAAGAACACAAAAGAAAGAATGATAATGGGGGTGGGGTGGGGAGAGAAGAAAGCAATTCAGCAAAACCAACATGTTGAGTCTGGAATCATATACAATGTTCAATACATGGTTTTCCCTTCCTTCAATCCGTCCACTCTTTTCAAAGAAGGAAGAAGCGAAAAAAGTTTGTCCAGGTCACCCTTGATCACATAATAACAGAGCATTTGCTTTTGAGTTTGGGTTGTGGAGTTTCTTTCTATTTGTACCATTTTCATTGTGTTTATTGTTTTTCAAGTTTTGTATACTTTGTATCAATTCATAGATGTCTTCCCATGCTTCTCAGTATTCCATGTATTCATCTTTTTATTCTGTAGGAATATTGCCTTATATTAATGTTACCACAATTTTTTTTTGCCATTCCCCCTTGATAGGGGAATCTTTATTGCTACAAAACACGGGGTTTTACTTTTAAATAAATACTGAGTAAATTTCAGAGAGGCAATAAGGGGATAATTCAGTTGGCTCGTGGAGTAAATATAATTTTCAAACTTTAAAAGTAAATTTTAAAATGTGTTAATATTAGGTTTAAACAAAATAATGAGTTATAGGTGCTCAGGACCATCAATTTATGACTTGACAATAGTCCAGGTCATCCACAGGTAATATACACATATTCACTGTGAAGTCAAGAAAGCATTTATTATTCACCTTCCAATTTTTTTTTTTAAAGAAGGAACTGAAGCACACCCTTACAACTCCCAGCATTTTTAAAGGCTTCTGAATAGGGTTATACTTACATAAAAAATTGGAAAGAACTCAAGGAGAAAAGTAGTAGAGAATGCCAGATAGCTGTTTCATTGCCTTCATAAGATAAACAGACTAAGGTCTTTCAACAAGATACAACTTTGGCAGATTTTCCCACTTCGTAGCACCTTACTTGTGTATTTCTTGGTTGAAACAGGGTAGCATTTTTTTTAATTTAAAAAAATTTTACAACTGTAGCAAACTCAAGAATAACTGAGAAATTGCTTATCTCTTTCTCAATCCTTAACCACACCACTGCTTGAATAATTTTCTTAATACATTACTCTTATTTCTTCAAACCTTATGGTTTGGTTTTTTTTTTTTTGCTAAGTGAGAATATAATCTCATGATCCCAGCATTCAAGGAACTCTTCGATCTGACCCTAATCTACCTTCTCACTCTTATTTCTTGTTACTCCCTTTCATATACTCTGATTTCCAGCCAAACTAGAAATTATTATCATTTGTCTTGATTCTCTTATTTCTCACTCTCATATCTACTTTTTTCTGTCCCATTATTTCCATGTATAGAAATGAATTTACCCCATGGGCCCAAGGGTTTTCTTTAGGAGCCCCTCCTTTCATAGCCCATCTCAGGTGCCCCATTCTCCATGAGGGCTTTCCTTCCCATCTTCTGGCTAAAAAAGGATGTCTCCCTCAAGTTCTTAATAGCATTTTGCTTGGACTTCTTCCCTGTGTTTAACACTTCTCCCTTGTCTCATAGTTATTAGTGTTTCTGTTTCTTTTCATTGCACCCTTTCTCGATTATAAACTGTTTGAAAGCAGCCAGATCTGTTATATCTATCTATGTACACCCAGCACTTGGCCACAATTCCTTGTACATGTTAAATGTTAATGAATCTTCATTTAGGTCTTATCACTACTCATCTATATATACAATATATACACGTGTATCATACAACTATATTGTAATATCTTCCTAATTGACCTTCCTCAAGTCTATCCCACTAATCACTCTTGTTCTCTATCTAACTCACTGTATTTTTTTAAATTTAAAAATAATCTTCTATTTTGTGTGGAACAGTTACACTGGCTGCCTCATCTTGATATTTTTTGGGCACAGAGACCAATCCAAATGTATCTGACCTTCCTGTTTGGCCTGTGACTATTGCTTCCAAATATAGCATTGCATTTTTGAAAATGCAATTTGGGTTTTTCATCAGCCTTTGCAGTAATGATGACCTTTATAGTAGATGTGTCTCTTCTGGGTCTAAACCGAGGACTAGAGATGGTAGCCTAAAAGTAAGAACCCATTTGGGAAAATGATGATGAGCTTAAAACCCATAATGTCATGTTAAGTTGAGTTCCACGAGTTATTTCTCAGCATCTAAAAGTATGATCTTGTCAGATTTTTACCTTGAATTTCCAGTTTGCCCCTCAACATCATACCAGGATTTCTGGGATATTCAATGAACATCTCAGTTTCAAAAATACAGTGGAATCAGGAGACTTGGGTTCAAATCCCAGTTCCTATGCTGACTATATGATATTGGACCCTTATCTTTACTTCTCCATGTGTAAAATGGGATAGGTTACATGTTGTCAAAAGTGCATTGGACTAATTAGAGAGATGTGGATTCAGATTCTATCCTTGGAGCTCATTCCGTGAGACTGTGGACAAGTCATGTGACCCCTCTAAGTCTGTTTCCCTCTCTATAAAATGGAGGCAGTGCCTACCTCCACAGGGGTGTTGTGAGAATGAAATGAAATCAGTCTTTCAGAGTGTAGTTCTGGATTACTAATCCAGTATTCTTTCTTTCTCAGAAGTACCATATTTGATTTTGGTCCTATGCTTCTCTTTTTCTCTTATTCATTGTACCGGCTTCACTAATAATAACTTGTACAGCCCATTTATCTACTTAAAGGCAGAAATTGGGAGGACAGGTCAAGAAAAATTGAGTGCAGGCACTGGGAAATAGTGTGAGCAAAAATAGATATGGGAAAAGGAAATTAAAAAAGGAAGGGCAGTTAATAATAGACCAGTTTGGCTAGAAGGTGGAGAACATGAAAGAGAATAACATCAAATAAGGATGGAAAGGTAGGTTAGAGTCAGTTGGATAGCCTGAAAATGTATGTCAAGCACATTACATACTTAAAAATGGCACATAACTCAAATTCTCAAAATATACCAATAGATCAATGTGGGAATTCCCTGAATAGGGAAGAAGACAGCATCCGTACCTGTCCATTTTGCATGACTCCCATAAATTCAACATAGGGGATCCATCATCTAAGTCAGAGGTTCCCAAACTTTTTTGACCTACCACCCCCTTTTCAAAAAAAGATTACCCAGTGTACCCCTAGAAATCTACTTTCTTCAACCCTTTAACTTATACAACAATTTGCATCATTTCAAAAAAAAAAAAGAAATATATTTTTTTCAAAAGTGAGGCATCTTAAATTTAATAATTTATTGTAAATGTGTGGTTTTTTCCTGCATCAAAATTTTGATGATGCAATATTGCATCATATAACCATATAATATCATATTGAAAACAAGTCATTACACACACATATTCCTCCTGATGCATGCTAGACTTCCTGACAATGTGTGATACACTCGCCTACCAACACTTGCTTGTTAGCACCTCTCAGCGGACTTGACCACTGATCAATTATGACTTGCATTTTGTGTGCTTATTTGGAAAATAATGTAATCACTGTGACTTTAAGTCTGTTACACAACAGATGAAACATGTACAAAAGGTTTTTCAAATTTTTCTTATCTTCTCTTCTTTCCTTATGTTTCCACCACCCCCTTATTTTTATTCACCCCCCTCATTTGCACCTGAGGCTCCTACTGCCCCCCTGAATTGCTCCAGCACCCCCAGGGGGTGGTATCACCCACTTTGGGAATCTCTGTGGATGGGAGCCTTCCTTGCTTTCTTTTGACATCTTATGGATACATATAGAGCATGAGACCTGCCCATTGGTTAGCCCATTTTTTCCCCCAGTCATACATTCTTTTGATAGCATCCTTTGGATCCTTTCTGCCCACTTCCTTCTTTGTATTCGTAGCAACCTTCCCGCATGTTCCCATAATGGGCCTCTCCATTAGCATCCATGTCGTTTTCCATTTCAGTTCTGTATAGACTAAAGAGTTCTGTGAATCACAAAAAATGTCAGCTATTAATGGAAAGAGAAGCAAAGAAAACCGTATGAAGATAAAATTAGTGTATAGGTAGGAGCAGCTTAAGCTCTTGTGAAAAAACAGTCTACATAAATTATCATTAATAAAATCAGCAAAAGAAAATACAAGGATAAAAAAAGAATCATAGGGAAAAATTAACTGAAATGTCTAATGAAAAAAACACATTAGATTAGCAATCCAGAACTGAATTCTTAAAGTCCAATTTTAATTGGTTTGGGCCAAAGCATTTGCCTTAATGAATTTGTGATCTTGTTGATGAGGTCATCCCCTCTAAAGGTGTAGATCTCCTCCATGTCTTTCATCTTCTGACTAGCATTGTTGTCCTTCCATAAATCCTCTAATGTTCTAGGCATCTTAAGATTTTAAAAAAAAATGTTTCTTGGTACCAATGAAGCACATAAGTTGTTTATTTGTTCTTACTACATGATTGACTTGCCATCTTTACTGATCATACATTTCTTGGATAACTGTGTTCAACAAATATGTTGTAACATAAAAAGACAAAAATAATGCTAACTCACTGACTCTTTTGCAAGGATGTTAAATTGTGCAATAAAGGAAGAGGCAGCATTATATGGTGGGTAGGAGAGAGCTGGTCTTAGAATCAGGAAGTCCTACTTCTGGTACCTAGTACTGAGTTATTGACCTTAGACAAGTCACTTAATCTCTAAGTGCTCTAGGCAGCTTTCTGTGATTTTAAGTTATGGAATAGTTGCAGTTATCTGCCTTGGTGGTAGGATTTTCCTCACTAGGAATTCCTTATACCAGTGAAATCACAGATCTGGCGCTTAAAAAGGCAGGGAGTGGGATGGTCATTTCCATAAAGATTCCAATAGTTGAAGCTGGTCCATCATCCCAGAGATTTCTCCTTACTCACTAAGAAAAAAAAATGCAGTGAAATTCAAAGAATTAGAGAAGAAAGCCACCTTGCATTACTGCTCTACAGATGGAGAAGCTGAGGCCCAAGGAGGTGATGATTTGTCTCACCAGTTAATGGAAGAGTTTCGACTAGAATGCAAGTATTCTGATGCCCAGGCCAGCCTCCTCTCTGCTATCCCACACTATCTTTCTTTCGCTATATTTGATTCTCATCAGTAATAGAGAATGAAAACCTTAGCTATGATTGGTTTTTAATGGGATCTCTTTTGCCCCCTTGCTGCTTGTGTGTAGTTAGCATGGTTGAGCGTTATTTTTGCCTCTGAGCTATCAAAGAAAATGGAATTTAAGCAGCTGAAGTTCTATCTGTTCAAAATGCAAAATAAATTGAGAAGAATCAATTGTGCAATTAGAGCATGTAATCTCTGTCACATCCCCTAAATTGATGTCATTTTTAACTTCTTGTCCTATCTCCCTAGCTCAGATTATGCTGTAATAACAATTATGCTTTACTGATAATTATACTTAATAATAATCATTATTATCCTCATCCCCCCTCAGTTCATTTCTGTTGGGTTTTCCTATGGATTGCAAGCTCCTTGAGGGTAGGGATTATCTTTTGCCTCTTTTTACATTCCCAATGCTTAACACAGTGCTTGGCACATAATAAGTACTTAATAAATGTTTACTGATTGATTGATCTAGGCTATATATAGCATTAGGAATACTCAGAGACCTGGAGGAGGAGACCACTTCTTAGACACAGAATCCTACTCCATTATCTGTAGGCCAGCTTAGTTTTTTCTCGTGTTGTAGACCCCCTAGGCTATCAAGTGCAATCTATGGACCCCTTTTCAGATTGTTTTAAAATACCTGAAATAAAGTATGTAGGATTACATAGGAAACCAATTTTACTGAAATAAAATTATAAAAATACTTTAAGATCACAGAACCCAGGTTAAAAGCCCTTGCTTGAGACCTAACTTGATTTTATGTCCAGGCCGCTTAGAGTTGTGATTTTTATTCTGTGGAGCTGAGAAACAGGGTTGAATCAAGCCAGCAGGGGGCATCATGAGTAGTGGAGTAGCCTCACCATAAGCAGGATTTTGAAATGGTCTATTTCTTCTTAAGAGGGGAAAAACAAACAAATAAACAAAACGTCTCTGGTTTCTCCAAAGTAGGTAAAATCCAAGTAATTTGCTAGGTCCTTGAGGCAAGTGGAAAAACTATGATATTTTAAACACTTCTAGAAGTTGTGTTGATTTCTAACAGATGCTAAAAAATGATGTATATCCTTCATTGTAATATGCTGCTTGTGATCTTTGGTCCTGCCTTAGTGTCTATAATTCTGCCGTTAGAAAATACTTCTTCATTTCCCAGCAAAGTCCCTTTTAAGTCCTCAGTGGGCCTGGCTCTGTGCAGCTCTTAGTTGGAACTGAACTATATTTCAAAATATAAAACCACTGAGAATCAGTCTAGGGGGACAATAAGGAGTGAGGGGAATGAGGGAGTGGGTACCCCATAGTCTTCAGTGAGCTCATGCTCATTAATCAATAGTAAGGCCCTGTGGTCTGGCTGCCAGCTGTGCCAGACAGAGAATGTTGGTGACCTTGGGGGAAGACAGTGTTCACATAAACCCACAGCTGCATTTCAGACAGTAGCTCATTTGACAAAGAGTCAAAACCACCAGGATACTGATAGTACAATGTTGGCCAAGGAGGCAAGTGTTTCTGTTTCATATCTAACGGGACAGTACGCATTCAGGCAAGACGAGAGAAAAACTGAACTTGGAGCTAACAGACTGCAGGCAGAGAAATTGGCTGTCTGTATTCAGGTCTCCTTTTATGGATGATAAAATGTATATAGAGATATGGATATGTAACCTATGGCATTCTTGCATTCTATATTCTTGCAGTGGGCCACCCTATCCCTGTCCGACAGAATCCGCACCCGACATCAGAACAGATTGATGAATTGCATCAGACCTACCTGGAGGAACTAAGAAAATTATTTGAGAAGCACAAAAGAAAGTATGGGATCTCAGAACAGGAAACTCTCATTTTTAAATAAACATGACTGTATAATGTATCAAGGATGCCACAAGAACTTTCTGGCGTTGAAAGAACCATCTCTGAATCCATAACAACTAGTATCTGTTGAAGACCGTGTTGTGCATTTAATGAATGTTTAAGAGTTAGAAGAGGGCCTGAATTTTTTTCTTTCGAATACTGTGTCAAATTATCACACATTGCCTTCAGCCATAGTAATATTAATACACAATAATCCAGATAGAGTAGAGAGTTATTGGAAGCACCAAGGAAAAGATGGTCTATGCAAAAAAGTTACAAATTATCCAAAGATAATTTCCAAACTCCATTTTTTGAAGGCTGCGAGTTATAAGGGTGATGGGAAGAGGTTAGGTTTATTTTTGTCAATCAATATTTATTAAGTAACGGGCTCTGTGCCAAGCTCTGAGGAAACAAAGAAAGGTAAAACGTAGACAATCCCTGCCCTTCACTATATGCCAGGCTCTGTGCTAAGCTTTGGGGATATAAAGTAAGGTAAAAGGCAGATAATCCCTGCCCTCAAGGAGCTTACAATCTAATGGAGGAGACAACATGTAAACAATTATGTACAAACTATAGAGACATATGTATACATATACACATATGTAACATGCTATATGTATATATTACATGTATACATGTGTGTATACAGGATAAATTGGAAATAATCAACAAGGGGAAGGTGCTAGAATTAAGAGGAATCAGGAAAAGCTTCCTGTAGAAGGGGTACTGGAAAGCAGCCAGGAGGCAGAGATGATGAGGGAGAGCATTCCATGCTTCCATAATCCCCCAAATATTAAAATTGAAATAAATTTTAGACCTTTAGGGAAAACATAGGCCATTCACCTTAGGCAAGTTCCTTATGCTCACTGAGCCTCAGTTTCCCCATCTATAAAATGAAAGCATTAGGTAAGATGTCCTTTTGAAGTTGCTTCCCACTCCAAATCTATGTTCCTGTGGTCCTTCATTTCCAAAAAGCTTGAGAATGTCTTTACTGTAAGGCGCTGCCATTGTTAAGTAGTACAGCTGTGGTCCTGCACAGATAGACTGTGAAGTTGTTAATGTATAGCATCACTTGCCAAAAGGAATCCGAGGTACGGTGATACTCCTGAACAAATGGGCCATTAGCTGATGCTGTTACTTAATATGTAGATATTCTGATTCTCTAGGGCATAGTATCCGACTTATTTGTGGACTCTAGCATTTTTGTGCAGTTGCTGAATCTGTCATACGAAGGCCAAAGCTGACAATAGCAATCCTCAACCTCCCCACTCCTCCTTATTTGAATTCATGTTTGGGCATAGAGAAATACACTCATCTGTCATTGAGTCTGGCTAGAGAAGGCTCACACATTTTGGATGGATCAAAGTTCTGAGAGGTTTTCATGTGAGGTTAATACGTATTGAGAGTGATCCAAGTGATTCTTGCCTTGCAAAAGAACCCCTGCTTGGGGCAGCTAGGTGGTTCAAATAAGACCCCAACCCTTACTAGCTGTGTGACCCTAGGCAAGTCACTTAACCTTAATTACCTCCTCTTCCCCCCACAAAAAGAACTCCTACACGTAGGTGACCCTGTTCTAAAGGATTTGTTCAGTCATTTCAGTCATATCTAACTCTTCGTGACCCCATTTGGGGGTTTCTTGGCAAAGATACTGAAGTAGCTTACCATTTCCTTTTCAATTTCCAGAGGATGGCAGCACATTTTTCACGATGGACACAGGAATAAGCTACCCCAAGATCTAGATTCAGAATCTGAGGTTTGGAAGGGCCTTCAGCAGCCATTTAGTCCAACCCAAATACAAAAGGAATCTCCACTCTAAGTTAGCTAACAAGTGATCATCCAGCCCTTCTTTGAGAGCTTACATGTATAGGGTAAGGTGGTACACTTTTGCAATGGGACAATCATGACAAAGAAAGAACAAAGAAAGGGAATTGACCAAAGAAATAAAGCAATCTATTCTCTTATTTCTCAGCACAGCACTTTTCTGAGTGCCTGGCACTATCCTAGGTGCTGAGGATAAATACAAGTCAGCTAATTCTATACTCAAGGATATTTTAGTCTACTTGGGGCAATATGGAATACAACAGTCACAGATATATACAAAATATAAACCATGGGATGGCATGGGGTGGAGGGACAAATAACTGGGGGAATCTACAGAAGTTTCTTGAAAGAAGAGGCCCCACTTGATCCTTGAAGTGAGCTAGCAATTCCAAGAGGCAGAGGTGAGGAGGGAGAGCATTCCAGGTATACAGGACACCTGTACAAAGGCTCAACCGTAGGAAGTGGACTGTCTTGGGTGGAGGATGGCAACTAAGTCAGTTTGGCTGGAGTATGAAGTGGATGAAGAGGAATAGTAATATGTAACTATCCTGGGAAGGTAGACTAGACCTAGCTTTTAATGGACATTTGGTGTCAGGTAGGAGTTTGTATCTTTCCCACCTGAAAGTATTAGGAAGCTAGTGAAGTTTCTTAAACAGGGCAATTACAGAGAGACCTGTGCTTAAAGACTATCATTTTGGCCATGTGTGGAGGATGGACTAGAGAGAGAAAAGACTGGATGCTGGAAGAATAATTAGGAAGCCATTGACCAGAGGAGAGATGAGGGCCCGAACTATATCAAAGTTTAAGATCACACATCCTTACCCACTTCATTAGATCCTCAGAGCATCACTCAGTTGCAACAAAGTAGCGTATTTGATATTTATGATGACTTGCAAGGTTATAACTTAATTTTGGGGGGGTCTGTACCTATGATTTCACTGAGCAGGAAGGGCCCAAATTGGAATCTTTCTCTTCTGTTGCAGATCAACAGCTTGTCTACAACTGCATAGTTTGCACTGGGTGGTGATGGTGAGAAAGGAATGGGAGAGTAGGGCATGGAGTTTGGGCTGAGAAGTAAGTGTTATGTCTTGGTATGTGTCAGAGGTAGTTTCTGAACTCAGGTCTTTCTGATTCCAAGGCTGGCTGTCTATCCACTGCACCATAACAATATGGGACTCTTTCAAGGCTCTGTAATCAGAATGAGTACACTTTAAATCCATTGGTAGGCAAGTCAAATGCCAGCAGCTGTGGTAATGCCAGATTTTCTTTTCAAAAAAGGGATATATTAAAATTACAGAAGCTAAAAAGTTTGTTGGACCTTGGGATTGAGTTGGCTATCTGTCATGGAGAAAGTTTACTCTTGCACCATTTTCCCATGCCATGCCACCTGTACCCCAGCCTTTATCTTCATTTTCCCTTCCCCTCATTCCTCTAGAATTTTGGCCTCTAGAACCACCCTAGGCTCTGATAGGAGAGCCTTTGCCTTATTCTTTGCCTGGAATTTAGGCCACCATTTCCAAACCATGCTAACCTTTTCCAAGCTTCCTTTTATGTGCTGTCATCTCATTATTAGAATGTAAACTCTTGAGGGCAGGGACTGCTCTGTTTGTATTTGTATACCTGACCCTTAGCTTGGTGCTGGCACATAGTAAGCACTTAATAAATGCCATATCTGTTCACTGATCCATTTTTCTAACCTATTTTATCTAATTTATCTAAACCCTTCCCTCTAGGCATCACTTCAATGTTCATAGTCATCAAGAAAAGGTTAAATAATGATCTGTACTCTGTTTAAGAAAGCATGGAAGTTTATAATGCATTTTTGGAAAATACCATAAAAAAATTTAGATGCTTAAAGGGACAGGCTTTAGAAAAGTCATTTATGTAGATATCAGCATTTGATAATATCAAACAAATGAAGTGCTACTGTACTTTTACCCTATTGGGTTGTATCTCCTAGCAATCACAGCAAAAAAATAATGGATCAAACCTTCATCCTTTTTGGCAATATCCATATATAATTCCCCTTTGTGACTCAGTTTAGTTTGAATTCAGATTTTAGCCTAATGCTTTAATTATCTACAATTCACCCCCATCCTCAAGGAGCTTGAGGAAGTCCTCTCTATATTTCCCAAAGTACATTTCCTGTTTCCTCATTCCTTTCCATGCCAAAGCTCCGCTTAAAATTGCTCCCTTTCCACTGGATTTGACTTTACTTTCTAGATTTCCTTAAAAAAAAATCTGTGTTTTATTTAAATTAAAATTTAGGTTTTTTGAATGAACAAATTGATTTTCTCTCCCTTAAAACCCCCAAGCCCACCACCATGGGAGGGGTAACCTTTGTAATAAATATGTATACTCAAGCAAATCAAATTCCTTCCAAAAAAATGTGTTTCATTCTGCCAAAAAAAAAATCTGTATTTTTAAAGATCCACTTCTAAATGATTTGGAAACAATTAGATTTTTTTTAAAAAATCTTATCCTATTTCCTCCACTTGTTCCCCTGGGACACTTTTATAAGTATGGTAAGTAGATAACCAAGCTATCAATATTTTGCTGCTTAGATTTTCTAGAATCTCAATAATCCAATGTTTATTGAAAATTTAATGTGACTAATAATTGGAATCAACCTTATTTGTAGGGAAATAGTCCCAAGAAGTTTGCATGAATTTTATTCTTATGTTGGCTTGTGTCGTGTGATTTTAAAACTTATTTTTATATCTCAGTGTTTGCCATAATACATAACTTCAATTGACATAGCCTCTTCTGGGATTAGGGGATAATAGGCTATGTTACATGCTTTTATTTAAATTATACAAAATCACTATTTTTCCCTAGGTTGGAGATACATATCCATAAATACCTTATAATGCTGAAGAGTTTTCAAAGTACTTTCACGTACAATATTTTATATGATCCTCATAACAAGCTTATGAGGATAGACAGGATAGATGATCATAAACTCATTTTATAGATGAAGAAATGGAGGCATGGGAAAGATCAAATGACTTGGCTAAAGTTATATATCTAATAAATCTTCTGAATCCAGCCTTCTTTTTAGGATCCTTCTTGTTCTCATTTTTCCCTTTATAAACTTTTCATTTTCTGTCATAATCCACAGGGCCAGGAGAGGATCTGAAGGTCATATAATAGAAATACATATCAATAAATGACACTAGAATAAATTTCTTCTTTATATTTCCTGTCGAGTACATTTACTTTTTGGAGTCTTGTACCATTTTGAGAAATGTTGGGTTTTTTCCCCTCTCTT